GACCCAAATGCTCCTCAGAAACTTGATGCCGCTGCTGTTGCTGAGTTTGAGAATGATGAGGAGATAAAAGGTCTGTATGCAGAGATTGAGATTCTGACAAAGAAAATTAATGGCAAGCCAAATGAGCACCAGGACCTTGCCAGCGAACGAGAAAAGTTATACAACAAAGTGGCGAAGAGACGACGCAGCAAGACCAAGGAATTTATCCAGAACTGGTGGAAGTCCTCCTATAATGAATATATTGCAGGAAAGGATCTCACTGAACGTGATTCAACATGTCTATTTTCAATCTACCGAAAATACATGCCAGAGAGAGACAGGCTGCGAGATAACTTATTCAGCGAAGTGACAATTGACAGCGAGACTGGAAGACAGTGTATGCTAGATATGGTGGCTATCTGCACGTCTGAAGAGAGGGTAGCATACTATCCTGGTGAATTACCAACCGACGGAAGATGTCCGGTTTGTTTGAAAGATATGTCAAGGTTTGTTTCAGATTTCTTATACCTATATTCAATGCTGATTCCTGCAGTTTTGAGATCCAAGGTCGCTCCAAGCATATACTTCAATGCAAAAGGAAATCACTGAATGCAGCACCATATCAACAGTCATACAAAAATGGAAAGAGAGCTCATCGTCGCACTGACCGAGTGTTTTTGGAATGGTGCTTTCTGTGTACCAAGTGGTTCCACACCAAGACTGACTGGCAGGCCCATTGTTGCTTTCATCTAAAGGATCTACAGCCGCGTTGTGGTTTGTTGCGATTCCGTTATACATTAGTTTCACCAGGGCTTTGCCCTTTCTGCCTGGGCAATCAGAGCATGCAGCCCGAGTGCAGATTCAAGCAGTGGCGCGAAAAGGTTACTCTGATCAATCATATCGACAAAGAACACTTATCAAAGATAGACGAGGACAAGCCTATCGTATGCCCTCACCCATCTTGTGAAGACAAGGCATATCCTTCTGCTTTGGAGCTTCGTCGCCATTTTTATAATGTTCACTCGATTGAAGAGCCTCGCCGCAACTGTGTTAGCAGAAAACGAAAGTGGATACTTCGGGATGATACGAAGGAAGAGGCTATTGTCAAAAAACAATCGCCTAGTCGTGCTACTCGTGATGATCAAACTGGAACATTTTGTAAAGTTGGTCCTTAATCAGAACATGGCACCTCGAGGTTATAAAAAGACAGTCTGAGAAGAAGATTGATCATGCCAATTCCAAAGCATCATCCAGGTCCCTGCTGAAATTTGAAATCCTAGAGAGTGTAGGGGTATTTGGCTTTGTCATGACGTGCCGAAGAAAAACCCTCTTTGCGTACTTCCAAGCCTCTACGCCGAGGAAAAACAATATCGCCTCGATGAAAACAATGCCCCATTCCCAACTTATTCCGGTGTGCTTGAAGACGGCATGATTCAGCACTGGAATGTACAAGATTGGAAAGATGGTTATCCAGCCTGCTATTATTGACCAAAACAAAAATCGGTTTTGCCACACGTCGTGTATCCATTGAGTATAATATTTCTCGGACTTAGGCTGCATGCGAAAGAACGAACGCCGCATATTCATCATTTCCCAGGCAAGAAATAAGGCGAACCAAGTCAGACATACGAAAGTTGTTGCTCGTGCGCGGAAAACAAGATCGCATACCTCGGACCACTCCCGGTTGCAGCCGCTTCCCAAGTCACCGTCGCCAAAGCCCCAAATCCGCAGGGAGAAGGCAGACAGGCATAAAGTTGCTGTCCAGAACCCGTACACAAAGATATCAATGATGACTTCCCAGGTGAAGATGCCTTTTTTAGTTTGAGGTGATCGATCCATGATATCGGGGGCAGCGGCTTCCATGCCAAGTCCCATATCCGGCATGCCTGATGTTATCATAATGATCCAGAGAATCTCCACCGGCGACAGTGGAAAAACAGACTGACCATCTCTATCTTTGAAAGCCAGTCCTATCAGCAATGTGCATGCCTGTGCGATGTTCTCAGCAAGCAGGTGCAGCACAAACTTCTGAATATTGTCAAAAATCCGGCGGCCTTCTTCGACTGCATTGAGAATTGAGGCAAAGTTGTCGTCGGTTAAAATAATGTCTGAGACATCTTTAGCAACATCTGACCCTGCTTGACCCATGGCAATGCCCACATCGGCGCGTTTCAAGGATGGAGAGTCATTGACACCATCACCCGTCATAGCAGCAAAACGACCACGGCGATGTAAAGCGTTTATCATGCGTACTTTCGTTTGAGGTGCGCAGCGAGCGATTACTAGTGGTAGTGAAGGGAGACTATCAATTTGATCTTCGGAAAGCTTGTCAAAACGAGCGGCTGTCATGACTATGGAGTCTGCCATCTCTACTCCTAAGGTGCGTAGACTTGCGGGCAGAATACCCACTTGCTGAGCGATAGCTTGGGCTGTGCCTGGGTGATCTCCAGTCACCATATGCACCGTAATGCCTGCTTGGTGGCAAGCTGCAATTGACGCAGCTGTTTCTGGACGCGGGGGATCGTAAATGCCGACGAGCCCTAGAAAGCAAAGGTCTCTCTCATAAAAATCACGGTCGAGTTGTCCTTCGGTCTTGAATGGTTCAGTGCATGGCCGATGTGCTAATGCTAGAACGCGCAATCCCATTCTGGCTAGCTCTTCCATGTTCTGAAAAATCTTATTTCGAATAGCATCGGTTATTACTACCGGGAATGAAGAGCCTTGATCCCATACAACAGTCCTGCATGAGTCCACGATTCTCTCCACCGCACCCTTAGTGAAAACCATTCGATGCTCTGCGTCGAATGTATTCTTTCTGAAAACGACGGACATTTTTTTGATGCTTGAGTCAAATGGAAACTCTGCTTCTTGAAACCACATTGCATTCGGGCCCTTAGTCCATCTATCTCGGTTCCAATTGAAGCGGGAAGCGAAGACCTCAATAGCAATCTCAGTGGGCTCGCCCCGGGCGCACCAGTCTCCTTCTTCAGATCTGAAGACATGCGATAGATTTGCCATGGATGCGACGTCCAAAAAGTCCTTGAGGGCATGGTTGGCAGTAAGTAGACCATTAACATCACCAATGGCAGGACCTTCCTCTTCCTCTTTGAAGTCTAGGGGTGAGACTGGTGTGAATGTGAGATGTCCAACGGTTGGGTTGAATGGTTCATTGGAGTTGCCAACAGAATAAGTGCCGCATGAGGGTATCCAGGCTTTCCTGACAACCATTTTACCCTGTGTTAAGGTGCCTGTTTTGTCGGAGCAGATATTTGTTACTGCACCAAGAGCCTCCAGTGAGTCTAATTTGCGAACAATAACGTTTCGCTCCACCATGCGCTTTGTGCCTACAGCCATGGTGATGGTAAGAACGACCACTAAACAGGCAGGGATCATGCTTAAACCGGTTCCAACAGCGTAAAGGATGACCTCATTGTTGTTAGAGAACCCATTGGCTGCCATGACAATAATGGCGAATAGTACAGCAACCCCAAAGAGTAGAATTGCCAGTTTAGACAGCTTCCGCTGCAATGGAGTACCCACGTTCACGCCGAGGAATCGGCCAATAGCGTCAGTGCCGGTTAGACTCCATGCCTTCAGATACCAGCGCTTCTTTGTCTCGCCTTGGGGCCCACGCTTGACAGGGCGACGCTTGCTGTCGCTAGCACGAAGGGCAGCTGCGATAGACCCTATTTCAGTTCCCATTCCCGTTTTGACCACAACGCCGCGGGCGCGACCACGGGTAACGGTACTAGAGCTATAGGCGATGTTGAGTCTGTCACCCGGGCCGGTATCTTCGGGAAATACCAAGTCGCAATCTTTCTGTACGGGTAAGGATTCGCCTGTAAGGAGAGCTTCGTCTGTTTCGAAATTGGTCGTTTCAAACAAGCTGGGCGAGGTTAGGATTTTGATGATAATCAGCGAAAATTAGTGAAGACTAACCGAAGGTCTGCAGGAATAGTATCGCCGGTCTTGAGTTCAACAACATCGCCCACGACTATATTTGATGAAGGCACCGAAAACGTTGCGCCGCCCCTGGTGATCGTGCCAGTGGGTGAGCTAAGCGAATGTAATGATTCCATCGTTTTCTCCGCCGCATACTCCTGAAAAAAGCCCACCACGATGTTCAAGACTATGACAGCTGCAATCACCCCGCCCTCAATCCATGATTGAATGCCAAGACTGACCGCCATTGCCAAAATCAACACCTGCAATTTGGTATCGAATCAGACTCTGGGAATTTGGAAATGAAGCAGAATCGAAGAAAGTGGATATCTTAACTAGCATCATTGCATTTGCTACCTGTCGAACAAGGATCTTGATAATTGAGACGCCTTCGCTTTCATCAAGCTTATTTGGCCCATAGAGCTGGAGGCGTTGAGCAGCATCTTCTTGGGTCAAGCCTTCATCAGCCTCAACACCCAGCTGGTTCAGTACTATTTCGTATTGAAGGCAATGGGCAGGCTGGCTGAGAAAAGCTTGCCCTGCTATTTTGTGCTTGCTTGTCATGTTAGGAGCCGTTTGTTCCAAGCTCGAGATTTTAGGAATGGGGAGATGAGGTTGAAGGATTAAGCTTGAAAAATAGAGAAGCATGAAAACTGGGCATAACGAAGATTTTCAGGTTGGGTGTGTGACATATTTGTAGGTATGTGCTGAAGGAGTGATATTCTAGTTGGCAAACATAGATAACCTATCATCTTGGCGCCCAGGCCTTGACCGTGGCGCCACTCTTGGCATCGTCAATAGAGCCTTTAGGTCAAAGAATAAACGTTCATTCACAACATGCTCGATTTTGCGGACCAAAGGACTTTGCTACATGACGCAACTATGATGCTCTTACAATTTTTATGGGACGAAAAAATAACACGTGTTGTCGCCAGATTTACGTGTACTCGTTGCTTGAAATCATTTTAGTAACAGCACAATGGGCAGCCAAAACAAGCAAGCCACGAAGCATGTGAATCCAGTCAACAACTAGACATCATCTGTGTTTACTTGTCTGTGATATGTAAAATGTGCTGGGGCATAAATAAGTATTACCTTGACAATGGTAATTACACGTGTTCCCACTGGGTGTCAATGGCACCAAGGGTGAGTGGGGAAGGGACCGGTTGGCTGGTAATCAATGGCTCACATGTGTATCGTTCCCATTACAATCGTCCCCCGCTCTTTCCGCCTTCGCCAAGTCCAACTTGCTGGTCTCGGCGGGCCTTGGCGGACACGCTATTCGTAATAACATTTGTCCGGACCTTCGCCTTGGATACACAAGGGATGGCATCACTTGCACACCCCAGTTCATATCCGTGTAAAATATACGAGACCTTCTAGCAGCAGTGATCTAAACTCAGATAGTGCCATTTCACTACTAGTATAGGGGTGCCCAGAAATTTGCAGCCCCTCTTACAGCGCTTGCTGAATTTGTCGGGCCCCCAAGAAGGTGGCTTGGAAGGAGTTGACTCAAAATCTCATCAGCAACTATTATATTTTAGTGAATGTGAACTCAGCTCAAACCGAAGATCATGCCCGTTCAGATCCACCGACAAGGCAGATTTACTCGCACGAATCATGGGCATTTTCATCGCCTACCTCATGAGCCTATGAAGCCGTTCTGGACAAGTATACCTGTTTTTCCGTGGAAGCGGCTTCACAAGGAAGAGGTTCCTTATTCGGACTTACAAAATTTGCCTACATTTTGGAAACCGTGGACTGGGAGTGCTTCAATATGCCAGTCACTCAATACTCATGAAATGACTGTTATAAAGGATAAATATGGGCAGATCCGTTATTATGCAGATCTTAGCGACAAGAACATGTTCATACTATTGCACAAAGATTGGAAGCACTACCCGCGAATCGATCGCTACTATGTGCTGAAAGTGTTTTGGCCCAGGCCGAAAGAGTCTAATCAGCACTACCTGAGACGAATACAGTCTGAGTTCTCAGTAGCCTCCTCACTGCACCATGACAACATCGTCGACACATTTGAAGTCCTGCCTATAGGTCACGGCCACAGGTGCTTGTGCATGGAATATTGCGCCGGTGGGGATGTGCATTCCCTCATTGTTGCAGCAGGAAAACTACAGAAAGAAGAGGCGGATTGTTTCTTCAAGCAATTAATACACGGGGTAACTTACCTACATGAAGAAGGCATTTCACATCGGGATTTGAAGCCCGAAAATCTCCTTCTCACCCGAGATGGCTGCCTTAAGATTTGCGGTTTCGATTACGTCGAACGTTTTTATAATGATCAAGAAAACAAATTCTACTTGTCGACAGGATACTGCGGCTCCGCTCCATACATTTCACCCGAGCAATATTTAAATACAGAATTCGACCCGAGACGTGTTGACATATGGGCCGCTGCTATCATCTATATCGTTATGAGGACAGGACGTAACCGGTGGAATGCTGCAACAAACGAAGACGAATACTTTAAAGACTATATGAATGAGCGAACATTTGGAAGAAGAACGTCATTTCTTGAGGATATTTGTTATGTAGGCCAGCCACTTCACCGCTGCATCGTACTTCTAACAAAGTCAATAGGGACACAGCCTCAGCATCATATACGCGATGCTCAGTATCCATCCAGAAGGCCGACCCGCGGCATCCGCAATTCTCACTTCTTGTTGGTTTCGGGAAATCCAGAGTTGCAAGGTCTGTCAATGATGCTGTACTTGATATTTTGCTCGCATTATTTGAGGTTTAACGTATCAATTCATGTAAGGGAGAATGCCACGCAAATTAATCGATATAAAGCATGCATTAGGTCATAGGAAATTTGTTTGACACGTTGTCGGTGTTCGTCCATTTTGTTTATTGTTCACTTGTTAAATATTAAGATTTTGCGTCTGTGGTCCGATGACCTGTCAATTCTAGACTCGGCGGGTTAGCCGCGCAAACTCAACGAGATCTACACTCTTTATGTCAAAGTGAGGGAAGAGAACTGAAGATGCTAGTATCTGCACAAGATCCTAATAGTAGAAATAAAAACCATGGAAAACACTTGGTCACATAGCTGAATTGTGGGCATAGCGGCCTCAACGAGCAATAGTGGAGACTGTAAAGTTAATAGCGCTAGCGGAGAGCATTCCATGAGATTCATCCTAGTAACATAAATACTTCATTCAAATTCGACTTGATGCTTGCTTTGAATTGTTTGACAATGATCTTGCAACCGCGTCTGAAAGTCGACAAGGCAGCACATTGTATGTTTGGTTCAGGAACAATCTGTCACGGCCTTTGAAAACAGGTCGTAACGGACCTTCTGCCGACCTTGTAAGCTCCGAGGACATGAAGAGTTCTAAAAGAAACACGGGCTCTGCTTCTACTGCAAGCGTCACCAGGCATATTGTTTGTCCCTTAAAGATAAATGAGTTCATTCCCTTGTCGCTATAGTGTCTTCATAGACAGGCCTGTGACGTTGAAATGTTTCTAAGTTGGAAACTGGGGTTGCAGTGCTATGAGATTGCTGAAGTAAATCCACCGGAATGGCGGCCTGTTCTTGAACCGAGCTGTTGCCCAAAGCATTTGATATAGTTCTCGGTAGATGGTACCCCGCCTTCCCTAAAGGTATCGAAAGTCCATGTACGATCTAGTTGATCGGTCAGAAGAAACAGCAGCGGAATGCTATAGAGGGTACGTACTATACTGCAAATGACCAAAAACCAGACAATCACCTCGACTGCTTCTAAGAGATGTTGAGAATCAGCGCGCACCTCGCCATCCACTGTCATATTTCTCAGTGCCTCTCGACACACGGACAAATAGAAGATAGCACCAACGCCAATAGGACCAAAGAACCCCACGAACGCTGCTTGAGTCAATTTTTCAATTTGATGTATGGCCCTATGCATTGCGAGAATAGCAGGCATTCGTCGTAAGAGCAGGATGAGTATACCGAGGAATACCAAGCGGTAGAGTGGAATTACGCTGTTGTTAACGAAGGATGACCACGGACATACAGCGCCAAACCACATGAATATCGAGAGGTTAAGAAGCATATCGATAGTCGGTTGGAGCGAATCGTCCATTGTTTCCAGGCGAAACCAGTCACTGTGGAGAAACCGGTTTTGTAAGCTGACGAAAGAACCACGTGAGAGTGGGACCACATACTCCTGGGTAAACACATTTCCGGCGACAAAACATGCAAGAAGATCATCGGTCCCAATCAGACCGCAAGTTCCTAGAGTAAACAACTGACGTTCTTCGTTAGCACTCCGAAGTTCGTTGATACCAGGAAATAACATTTGCTTTTGACAATAAGGGCGCAGAGTTTATAGCACTAAGAAGATAGAGAAGAACAAAAGATACCTGTCACTTACAGCTAGAGAGATGGCAAACACGAGAAAACTCTCGCGATCCACATAACGATTCTCTTCTGCCCAATGTAGCAGCGTTCGAGACAGCCAACCCACAACCACACCGTAAAAGATACTGAGTATAATGTCGTAGCACCATATCTCATAGAACCACATGCCGATGGCCTTCGCTGCTCCGCCACTGGCGTCCGATCCTTCCATTCCAGTGTACTTCATTAGATAGAGAGAAAGGAATAAGAATGGGTATCCTAGCCCGTCGTTGGCACCTGATTCAGCGACAATCATGCGTTGCAAACTGCGTGGGACATATCGATCTGCAAACTTCCCCTTGACAATAGAGTTTGACAGGACTGGATCTGTAGGAGTGATACATGCGGCCACAACTAGGGCGTGGAGATATTGCAGACCAGGAGTCATGGCCCAGATCACGAGACTGCTACATATCCACATAGCTGCCATGCCAGGACCCAGCAACAGCGCCAAGCTCTTCCATTCGACCTGCAAATAGCGTTTAGGCAGCTGAACGCCAGCTAGAAATAATTGTATGCCCAAGACTAGTCTTGTGAAATACAAGGTAATAACTTCGACATTCTGATTGGATCCTAATGCATACTCTGAAGGCCGAATAAGGTTAGCGGCATCGGGTGAGAAGACAACCCCAGTAAGAAGGGAAATCACTGGAGGATAATCAGCACAGTTCGAAACATCTTTCTTGGTAACACGAACATGCTTCGGACAAGTAAAATTTCTCCTTGCATAAAAAGGACACAAGCCCAAACAGCGAGATGAAACCCCCGAGGAGTGCGCAGACGATGTTGAAATTCACTACAGAGAGAGTTGGCATCGCGATTGTATGGGAAAAGTATTAAATTCTGGAATCATGCATAGAGAAAGAGGTAATAGAAGTTTAAACCATTAAAATTAGAAATAAATGTTGAGTGCGGAAAACTAGTCATGTGACTAGAATGGCAAGATACATCAATCACAGTGTCACGTGATCAAAAACGAGGCGGCTCTGATTCCCGATTTCTTCAAGGCCCACTTAGCCCAGCAATGTCATACCATACACTTATGCATTGCAATGTAGTCGTTATGATACTAAAGGCGGTAAATGCTTACACAGCGTAGACCTTGAGCATTTATTTATAAGCTAATATACAAAGCCACTTCTCTTCAACAACAACGGTGGTGCATATGCTTTCCGGTCTTGGGCAAAATCAGTTGATTCTCTCCACTACACAAATCCAGCTCGCTTGGCTGCCAACGTGCTATGCTTTAGAGTGCGCTGTCGAGTCATCGTGCTGAAGTGCCCTCTTCTGTAGCTTAGGTGAAAATGCTAAGCCATCGTGCTCTTAGACAGAGTCCCGGCGCGACGCTACTTCTTGGTTCGTCAAGCATTGTCAAACCTGTCATCTGTACATGAGAGATCTTTCATAATATTAATAGTAACTCATACGCTGATCCATAACATCAAGCATGCCATACAAACAAGAAGGAATAATTAGGGAACAGAACGGTGGCAGAGGCCCGGCGGGATGATAAAGGGGGCTGCAGTCACGTGCAGCAGGTGCTGCGGGTCTGTCCCGTAACAGTAAATACTCATATGGATAATTTTAAGTGGATACTTAGGTTCTCGAGGAGCATACAGGTGCTCGGGTGAGTGTTCTTCCGTTCAATTCCACAGGCTCAAATAACTACGTGCACTTCCCATCTGCTCAGCCGTACTTGAGCCACACGCCGACACGCCGGGAGTAGTAGTTGGGTGGGTGACCATCAGCGCACCCCTTAAGTTGTATGCTTTTGGTTCTGGTTTTGGTCTTGAATCTCTCTGTTTTCAGCACGCCTGACAGATCTCGAGTTGGCCACGTATTGAACGCCAGCCCTCCGCTCGTATTGAGTCTACTCTGGTCAGGCCAAGGACACTAGCATGGAGTCGTACAACTCAGGCCATACACAAGGCCCAATCCTGCTCCTTCCGCTCTTGCGCCAAGTTCCATTGCTCCACTGTTCCACCACTGTGCTAACCTCGGCGGCTCTTGGCGGGAAGCGCTATTCTTCGGTATGCAACATGCAAGTACCAGGGAAAAAGTCCACGGTGCATTGCCGGGACACCTGCAGCGAAATGGAGGGGCAGTCTGACGGTTGATTCCAACTTTTCAGTAAACTCTTGGCAAACCCTAAACAGAAATTCCATCCTCCATTCATTTGTTCGGATAAGGACATCGTTCCGTTCGCGGAAAGTTGAAAATGTGGACCCTGGGGACGTCATCCTTCACGAATTGAATCCGGCCAAGGGAATTGATGACAGATGGACTTTCTGCAAGTTCTGCGGTAATCGCTGCCGCATTACTGAGAAATAGTGAGTCATGTTTCCTTACAGTTCAGAGCTCCTTGGGAACCATGAAACGGAAGTGAGTGAATCTCACAATGGATACATATAACCCCCCAAATAAAGAAGACCTTGAGATGTGAACAAAATCGTTCCGCTGGTGACGAGTTCCTGCTGCCTCTATCATTCGTCCTCTTGGCCATGGCGGGAGGTTTTCTACCTTATCACGAGCCAGGAAGTAAGGCCTCCCACACTCCGTCTAGATATCCTTCGATACCAGTCTTCTGATTTCCTTGCAGTTGTCGACATCCTCATCCTGATTTCCTTCTTTTTCATCTTGTCCTTGGCAGAATGGGCCTCAGCGAAGATAATTCGCGCCGGCATCATTGGCCAAATAGCGGTCGGTATCATTTACGGTAAACCTCTCGCCGATATCCTTGAACTGGACTGGCAAAAAACTTTTCTATTCCTCGGCTATGTTGGCTTAATTTTGATCATATTTGAAGGTACATGGCTCATGTCGTGCTCCCCTGTATTCTGTTTATTTCTGTCCTGGGCACTAATGTTCTCTTTTCCAGGTGGTCTCAACGCTCGCCTGGATCTTTTAAGGGCAAATCTGGTGCTTAGTATGCTCGGTGCAGCCACCGGTGTTTGTTTCCCCATTGGCCTTTCGTACCTGCTTCTCTATTTTGCATTCGGATATGGTTGGCTTCCACAGACATTAAAATTTTAGTTTCTGTATAATCAGGCTTACGATTTCCAGGTGCTGTGGAAACCTTCATTGTTGGAGCAGCGCTATCTGCAACCTCTTTGGGTAAGTAGACGCCCGTGGCTCACTAATCTGGCGATCTTTTTTATAGTTTGTTTGCTTACACTGCCAAGGTACAACTTTTGCGGTGATATCTTCTGCTTCCAGCACCGTCGATCTTGCACAGACCCGAGTAGGCTCTGTCCTGATCAGCGCGGCGGTTATTGACGACGTGGTTGGGCTTGTCATGGCAAGGTTTGTGCGCATTTGCTCTCTTCTGTTACCATTTACTCGGCCACCTCGCGGGGGAAGCGCAATCTTTCTGAGCGGCTAGGAGAACCCCTATACTAACAGTCTTTAATGCTCCCCAGCGTCATCGAAAATCTTGGTCAGCTTAGAGGAGGAGGTGATAGTGGTGGTGGTGGCGGCGGAGTCAATCTCGGCTGGCTGATTGGACGCCCTATCGTGGCCTCGATCGCGATGGCGATTGTAACACCCCTCGCGAGCAAATACCTGTTCGCGCCGACGTTTCGACGGTTCATCGAGCACGACTTTGCGCGTTTCGACCACATCTCCAACATCATCCTGATGACTCTGTCGCTATGCGCGTTCATCACGATTGCGGCCTACGCGGGAACCTCAGTACTTTTTGGCGCCTTCCTGGCTGGCACATTCCTTACCTACATCCCCAGCAAGCAGCTGACTGGCCCGTTCGTCGTGATGAGCCGGGAGGAGGGCGAGAAGCTGGCGCACAAGAGCCCGACGTTCGTCCACACCTTTGAGCGCTACCTCGTTGACGTCCAGAAGTACTTGATGGAGCCGTTGTTTTTCGCGAGTATCGGCTTCGCCATCCCCTTCGTGCAGCTGTGGACCGGCAAGCGGATCTGGCGAGGGATCGTCTTCACGCTTTTGATGGTCTTTGCCAAGGTAAGAGGTTTCCTCCTGCAACTACACCCACATTTCTCCTAAGCGCTGTTGCTCACGGCTGAGATTTGGTTGCAAACAGTTTGTCGTGGGGGTTTGGGTGCCGATTTGGGGCCGTTGGCCTGCTCGCAAGCAGGAGCCGAGTTTAGCGTCGGTAGAGAGTAGTGGTATGGAAAACGGAAGCCAGGCGCGTGCAGAGAGTGGGGAAGTAAAAGACCAAGCAACCACATGGCTTTCGGCATTCCTCTTGGGGTCTGCGATGGTCGCGCGGGGCGAGATTGGGCTTCTGATCATTGAGATTGGATATAACGAAACATCCTACGTCAGCGAGGAGGCCTTCATCACGGGCGTGTGGGCGATTCTGCTCAATACCATTATTGGGCCTGCCACGGTAGGGCTTCTGATCAAGTACTGCGGCAGACGCATTGGAGAGGGCGAATGGGGTCTTCAGCGCTCGGTCATAGGCATGGAGGTGCCCCCAGCTTAGGGGCTGGAGACCGTGAATACATCTAATTCTGTGTAAGACTTTTTCTTCATGCGGTTAACAAATATCTGAAGATCGAAGCGACGACAGGGATGGTCAGATCATCAAGCACTGGCCCTTGAGACCTCTGATATCAGGAGCTGCTCTTGAGGACACTACACTTTCTAGTTTAGCTCTCAAATTTGTTGGAAACACGAAAGAAAAAACATTGAAGGAACTTTTGGATGTAAGACAAAAGCATGTTTTTACACTCTGGTGTAATAAAGACGAGCTGACACTGGGCCTACACAGGATGAATTTCTATGTCTAGCAAACCCAGGCGGTTCATGGAGCCTAAAACGACATTATTTTGATGCACTCCCGTTAAGTATCAGGTTTGGAAAGCGAGCTCGGGAAAAGTCATGAATCATTTGTAGTTTTGAGCCACAAAGCCATTAAAAGGCTTTAAGACAAACAGTTTTAAAGCATCTGTGCTTGAATTTCTGTTTATTTGGTTGTGATAAAAATTATGATTGATATAGTTGTCTTAGCTGTCACTTTTGTGCATCATGAAGACTTTAGGGATGTGATCAATTAGTCATCAAATAGATAGTTCTCCTCCTTATGAAGAATACAAAACCAATCTCCAAGTTATGAAGAATATAAGACTAAATGTGAAAATGCTCGACCGTGTCTGAGATTGCCCATTTAGATTATGTGAAACTCAACAAGGATCATGCATTTCTTTGTTTGCTACGACAAACATGATGACAAGCACATCTTGGAAAAGTACTCCTCGTCAAAATGAGCTTTTGAGATATAAGAGGTCATCTTGTATTTATCTTCCTTGAAAAGAGATGATTATTTACCTTTGTTTGCTGATAATTTGTTGGATCGTGGGCACACAAGTCGCTTCTACCCGGTAGTGAATATAGATATTCCCTTTCCAATAGTGCTCTGGCAATTAACATAACCCACAAGTTACCAAAAGAAATGGCTAAGACCCCAGCATTTCGGCCATTACTCCCTGCTGCTACACCGCCATCTCCAATCGTGAGTAGAAAGGTTTCTGGTTCCACACAGACTCGTCGATCTTCAGCCTGTCTAAAGTGTCGTGAGAAACGTGTTAAGGTAAGATATCTCAGCTACAGTTGGTCCCAATGCTACTAACCACGTATTCTATTTAGTGCGTCGGCTCATCGCCTTGTCAAGCCTGCACCGAGACCGGAACAGCCTGCATCTTCGAACCGTCCAGAGATAGACGTAGGAAGTCAGCTCTCATCTATGCAGAGCAGTCTACTCAGAAATATCGGAAAATCTTAAAGCAGCTACTACGCACTTTGATGTTTGGTAATGATGAACAGATCTCTGCATTGAAGGAATTCGTCAGGAACCATGCTTCTGTAGGAAGTTGCTTAAACGTACTGGGTTCGGAGTACCAGCCAAGCTCAACTCCCTCCGAGACAAGGTAGTGGAGAAGAGCGGGACTCAATGTTAATTAAAGGCGTCATAAATAGCTCACACGTTCAATGATGATTTCATGCTATAAGCGGAACCAAGACGAAACCCAACTCTGGTGAAATCATGTCTGCCCTACAGGTAATCAGAAACTTGTGGAACAAATCAGGTCAGTGTATTATATGGATGCAATTACTGGCCAAACCTGGGACTATTTCCCTTTCAAAGCTGGAGTTGGAAGCGACGTGGAACATAAGAGTATATACTGTTAAGTTCCACAGAAATGTTCATGTGACCAGAGTGTAATGTATCATTCATACACGGCTCAATAATCCCCCAGCTCCGTGCCAGTAGTCGCTTAGTGTGGTTTGAGTTTAGGATTGCTGAAACAATCGAAGAGTGTAGGTAGTGACACCGGTATCCGGAAGCCCTGTATAGGCCTTGACAAGGCTCCAAATTCGTCAGGAAAGCAATAGTTCACGTTCAAAGTTATATATAGAGAGCACAGATAGTGGATCCCTGCATTTCGCCTAAAGCGAGGGGCCAGCATATGAAACATCATCAACATCATCAACTGTAAACCAGGTCACCTGAAGGAACAATAATTGCAAACCAGTTTATAGCTTCTATATCCTGAAAGCTCATTGCTAAGACATTGTCCAACAGTCATACTGTGTTCACCAGCAGTACAGGCCTTGTCGTTGAAAATTTGCACTGATGATATTAGTCAAGCTCCAAGCATGTAGCTATATATAATTTGTATGAAAGCCTACCATCACAGCCGAGTATATGAACTTCAAAAATAATTGACTGGACATCAACATCGCCGAAGGTCTCGCATTGATTGATGTAATTCCCATATATTCCTAATTCTCCCAGGTTCTGTTCTAAGCAGCCGGGCGTACTGAACAAACGGATTTGGGCTAGGCGGGTATCGTTCAGCTTGTCGCCAACAGTGGAGAAAGCCAGGACTGTCAAGTTGGTCAATGCGGTCAGTGTAGGGAGAAAGAAGATGAATTTCATAATGATACGTATAAAGGTGGTTTGAAATGGTTTTAAGAGTTGATAACAACTATGGCAGAAGTTTGTGGCTGTATGTTAGGATAGAGGAAGTAGGTGACTGAATATAGAGGATCTCGAAATTGGCTTGACCAACAAACACACCATGAATGTTTTTCAGAGCCACTGTCAAGATATTAGGTCGGGTAGACTATTGAGCGGGATGCTGTAATTTTAGTAAAAGTCCTATCCTGAACAGACTGTATTTTAGACAACCCATAACTTTAATACGGCCTGCTCAATAAGATAATGACGCTCGAGTCTTGGCAGTAAGATTCGGAAACAATTGTAATATGTTTGTTGGTCAAGCCAAATTTGAGATCGCCTGTACTGCGTTATTGTTACTGTAATAAGTTTGGGCGAACACGATCGATCTTCTCTTGGATCATAAAATCACCCATGCTGAGAGGGTGATAGCAAGATAATCTATTAGGTAAAATAGGTAAGATATATTATGTAAAGTTAACCTTGTAAGATATTAGTATTCTTGGTGCAAAATTACTCTAGACTTCGTGATGGTGTCAGAGATTTCGAAGCCGCTTGCTACAAGAGCCACAGAACACAACCCCAGGCAGCGGCCCGTATAGGGTCTGACGAGGCTCCAGTCTGACAGGAAACAATGGTATCAAAGAAAAGGGGTACTGTACATAGAGAATAGAGATAGTAGAATCCTGCATATCGCCTAAGGCGAACGGTCAAGAGTCTGATTACAACCCCGCTCCTGTACGGTACCTAAGAAGGTTTAGATTACAGTATAACCGGGTCTAAAATTCACCTTCATAAGCACATTAGCGTAAGGAGATTCTGCCCCTCATGTATTGAATTAAGTAGATACTGATTATATGAAAATTACGACTAGTTTATTTGATCTGATGTAGGTGTAATACAATCAGTATAGTCGGTTACTGTGGATAGTAAGGTTTTAAAATGACCTACTAGAGCTTATTATTCCAGAAGTCTAGCCAATTGATCAATTTCTTTCTGGTAAGGCTCAACTTGGTTCAAAGATGAATATGGAACAATACTGCATGTTTCATAAACAATAATAATATTAAGCCTTAGTCTATAAATGGAAATGGCGCTGTTTCCGACCCGCTGGCAGTATACTACATAAAATAATATAGATTTTCCAAACTCATGTTTACTTTGTTTGTGAGTAAGCGATAATGTATCTTCAAATGTGCTATAGAGATATACGCTTTCCACCATCTTTAGTATCTACTTTTATTATTCAGATTCTTACTGAAAACTCCTGGTCCCCAACCCATATTAGCTGGAATATCAGTGTGAATGGAAAGGGGTTAGATTCAGTTATCGATTTACACACAGAATTTGTTATAGAAGCGCTCCCATCACCAGCTTCTTTTGCCAATCTTGAGTTTGTGCAACGTATTTCTCAAGGCAAAGAAATATGTGAATCGGTTATTATACATTATTCGCAACTGAGTACAAAGATTGAGGATCAGCAGCTAAGTTTGAGCCACGACCTATGCAGAATATATGACGAACATTATTTTGGTCATTTTAGACAGGTTGCAGAACCAATAGGATACGGTTTGTCAAAGCTATAAGAGAATTGCAAGACACATTACCGCTAATATAAAGAATTTTTGCTTAGTGTTATATGATACGGTGCAGAGCATGGTGTGGCAAAGACCAAACATGCAGGATCTGTAGTAAGGTTTGATTACAAAGAAAGGTCCTCAGGCTATCTCGGCTCCGAAAAGGATAAGCTTACCTTCAATTCTACTTCTAAACTTCTTAGAATTTTTCCCTAGTATATACTATATTTTAGAATATAACCCGTTCAATACAGAAATTACTTCATCGATATCAGATTTGCAGGTGTTAAGCAGTTATATCAGACTATTCTTGTACGCCTAACTGCTTTGTAGAATTAAGAGCTGCGATTAATAGTACTGCAATCTATTATACTAACTTGGATAGTATCAAGATTATACTTTTTTAAAAACATTCCAAGGTCTTATATTCTTGTATTATACCATATTTCTCAATGCCTGTGATGATATACAGATTTGATTGTATTACAGGTATTAGATGACTTTCAGTTTTGAATACATGCAAGAACTGCAGTTAGATTCCTAATTTCGCCCTAAAAAGATTCACCATTTTATGTTAAGAATGTTCGTATTTTTAAACATATAAACAGTGCCCCTCTACTGATGATGATTTTGTTTTATAGTGACTCCTGATTCGACAAATTCTTATATTAAAACATACTCTTCTCTACGACGACGATGGAAAACAGCCGAGAATGGAAGTATGGATTCTGGGATTGCTGCTCTCCCTTCAAGACTTGTCTGTTAAGACTGTAATAACATTTGAACTTGCACCGAAATGTGAAGCTAATATATAAGTAGGTTGCTTTGCTTTTTGGTGCCCATGCTGTCTCTATGGTCGTACTGCCTCACGACTTAACAACCCAACTTTAAAGGAACATACTTTTTTTAATCAAGATGTAATAGGCCCTAGGCTCTCTCCATGCCTCACTCAACTGATATTCGATCTAGTGCTGTTTATATTATTTGGCTAGCTGCTGTGGTTTGAGCTTTATCCCGTTAATGATGAAACGGGCCAGATTGCGTGCAAACTTTGAGCTAGAGGGTTCGAGCTGTGGTGACTGCTTTAAATCGTGTTGTTGTTCAATTTGTACTTTGATGCAAATGGAAAAGGAGGTTAAAAGCCGTTCGGAGCTGTTAGAAACAGAGGGCTATCAGGTACCGGCAGATATGAGGTATGGATGATTGGATTATGATAGTGAAGAGTGGATAGACTGTTTGGCAGCCGCTTCTTTTGAAACCTCTTTTATTGGCCATAGCATATACGGGACTTTTATACGGTATCAGTACTCTGCGATTGCTTTGAAATAGCCATACGAAAATATACAGTTTTATATTATATCTGAATATTGTAGATTACATCAACCTAGTATTAAAAAATACTGTATTATTATCTAGTGCTCAGCAGTTGAGTAAAAAATATCAGTAGAGCACCTAAGCTCATTCCTCACAAGTGACAATAAGTTCTACAATAGTTATAATGAAATGAAGACAAAATTCCAAGAAGATGCAAAACAGTAGCCAACACCACCAAAATATGGAATATCTGATGGGACGATCCATATATATCAAATTTCCCCGGTTTTAATGACTCAGGAATCTTTGTCTATACTAGTTAGTTTTTTGCTGGAGGTGACTAGCGCAAAATACTCACTGTGTAGATAAATGCACCTAGCAATAGGATAACTCCTTCAGCAAGATAGTATAGTATCCCAGACTGTTTAATCATTGCCCGAAAGCCAATAAGGATAGTACCGTGTATAAGAGGAGCAAAGGCTGAAAGACCGATACTGATAAAGATACCAACACGGAAAGTACGCCAGCATGGACCTTGAAACTTTGGGTACAGTAGAACCAGAATTATTAATAAGTCCAGAAAGATTATCTGCACAGAAAATTAGTATAGTATAAGAATAGCCAATAAAAGTCTTCTCAACTTACTAAAGCCCAATACACACATCTTAAAAAAGGTTCGTAGTAGAACACCATATATATACCAGATATAAAATCACCAAGTATCAGGATGGCAATTCCGACGTAATCAAGGCGTAACCATAGACTTGAAATATTCTTAGAGTGATTGATCAATGTGTGGTATGTAGCTGATATTAGTAGGCATAAACCTGCTGTTAAAAGAAAAAAGGAAAAGACCAGATAATCAGCAACTGTTGCCTCAGGGTAATGTGTGCAAAGATACTGATAAATAAGTACTTCAGCTGTAAGAAAAAGGGTGCCTGGAACCAGGTGAGAATAAATATTAATAGTCTCATTATGAAGCGCAACTAAACTTAGGAAACATGAATAGCCAGATTTCGAAACAGGGCGATAACTGTCGAGAATAAACTTATTATCTTGATACCATTCTGGTATCTCCGAGTAAGATAAAAGACTGGAAGATTTGTCCTTGGGTATAGTTTGAGTTGATGGTACTAATCCTTCCATAGCTCTAGCTGATATAATAGGGTTTCTACTAGCACTTGAATGTAGTAACTCTAGATATTATGCTGGTTGAATAGATGTCTTCTCAGCTTTCTTATAAATCTTAAGACTAGATAGCATGTGGACTTAGGAGATAAGTATCTAATACAAGCGTAGATAGAAGGCTGTTTGATTAGCCTTCAACTCTGTATCATCTTAGCTCTTATAGTTTCAAAATCGCTGATACAATTCATAAGTATAAGTAGTAACTTTGTTTCCTGATTTGCCGTTTGTATATGTAAGCCAGCACTGCTCATACTGTACCGGGTCTTCAGATACTGGTTTCTCTATCAATCTTCTTATTTCCCTGCTGAAAAGCACCTAGATTAGAGATAAAAGGCAGGCTAGCAATGATTAGTTTCCTTTTTTGAGAATATCTATCAATAGTGTGGAGAAACTTCAACCATGGTACAGTGGATTTATGTTGGTCCTTGCATCAGTTCCACTCTTCTTGGTGTTGGTGGATATGAACTCGTAGGGCAGAAGAGCCTACTTGGTTCGACCGAACTGTTCACACGTACAATTGCCGGGGCTTAGAGAGATCTCACCGACAATGCCTTCTCTGAATATAGCAGTCATTCAGAAATAATCGCTGCATATGATTAAAGATCCATTGCATTCAGTTCAAAGAACACCCCTCACATTCCTCACCGATTCCGCGTCACAAGATGCACAAGTCCATGGATACTAGTAGCTGTTCAAAAGGCTGTTGATAAGAGTTCGTAAATAGAACATACAGTACAGAGTATCAGGATCATCTTACTGTATTCGTCAGATTGTATCTAATCCACAAAGTTTCTACTCAAGGTCAGGCTTCTTCTTTAATATGCCACACGTATCACTATACTGTACCTTCCGTCTTTGCACAAAGTCTTCATAAAGACCTAGCCAGATTTCTCGAGACCGACATGCAAGAGCACCACTTGTCTGGTCTGTGTCACAAGTAGGTTGCTCCTGTTGAATTACTCTGGCGGGAGATCTCCGCCAAGGCTAGAAGTCAGGTGAGTAAGCATACTCCTCAAAATCCACAAGACTAGAATACCTTGGGAACCGGCCAGTCCGAAAAATGAAGATACTTTGCCTCTTGGATTACAAGATCCGGATCCCAAGTAGCCTCAGGGTTTCCAAGATAGTTGCTGTGGTTCCGCGCTCTAAATTCTCCTGTCAGAAGAATGTATGAACGATGTGGAAGAACCACAGCACTATCTCTGTAGAGCTGATTCAAGATCTCCATATCATACACTGCAGGTCCTGCCGCTTGCATCTGCTCCCAAATACGACCAAATTCAAATTTTGACGGTTGAAGCAGTATAAGAGCAGACGTCAGCTGGCGAGTCTGGGTATCTAGCCAGTATGCTCGTGGCATGGCTACCGGTGATGGAGGCCAAAGAAATAAATGATCTAGACTCTAGTGGCAAAGCTTTTAGTATATATGTCTCTGTCTTTCAAGATATAACAGTGGCCAGGGTATTAGATACCTGTAATAAGATAGCATCCGAGTCCAAACTTAATACCCGCTTGTACTCTGTTTGATTGAAGGCCAGCAGCTTGGTATAGCTGTCTGTCCATGTTGCTATATAGGCTGTGAGCCAGCGTGGCCGACATCATCAAATTTGAAGAAGTACAATTGAAGTAAGCATAAATTAATACGTACTATAATCAGCGGGTCGAGTTTGTACCTCAATGGGCATTAGTCTGACGCGATACTCTGCACGCGCCTTGCGTAACAATCTCCCTTCCATAGATTCGCTCTTCAAATCAAAGTGCGAAGGAAAAAGAAGCACTCTCTCTGGGAGGCTGCGAAGGCGCTCAAGAGACTCGAAAAGCATGAGAGCATTACAGAGATAATCTGTGTCAGTCGCATTTTGCACATAGGCGAACTGTGCCCAGTTGATGGCCTCCAAGTTCGGATCGAAAGATGATTCTCTATGAGTAGACAAAAGATCTTTGTATTTATATAGTCGCCACAATATTATCATGAGTGATAACACTGGTAAAGTAAGGTAATAGCGGGAGGTTATAAGCATGGTCTTGGCCAAAAAAGTGTTTCTGGAGCATCGTCATCAGAGGACGAAAAATGAGACTCATTTTGTACTTTCCAACAAAACAAAACTTACAGAGAATCTCGAAATTGGCTACACCAACAAACATACTATGAATATTTCTCAGAGCCACTGCCAAGATACAGTATTAGCTCGGATAGGCTATTGAGCGGGATGCTGCAACTTTGGTGAGAGCTATGTAGACTGTATCTTAGACAAACCCGTAACTTTAACGCGGCCCGCTCGATAAGATAATGACGCTAGCATGTGGTACAGCGGGTAAATTATTTGCTAATGCTCTTACAGCTAGTATTTCATGTATTCAAAACATAACAGAATAGTAGCTTTAAAATTTCAAGCTGCAGCTTCTCAGATATAGTGCTCCGGAACCGGACTGGATACACTAGAGAACCTGGGTCAGGACGGCTCCGAGTCCAATATAGGAAGTTATGCTAATAACATAAACCTGAGATGATCAACCCCATAAGTATCATTAGAAAAAGGAGGCCCATGAATAGCTTTTCTCAAAATTTGACACTACAATTTCTATGTATTTGCTTGGTTTCCGATAGGTGTTTCGAAAGCCTTCATTTACACAATGCCGAAAGGATATCTTTTCGTACCTATACAATCTGTGCTGATCTCGGGTGCGATAATAAGTTTGACATGCTTAATCCTGCGGCTTTTTGTCAGGCGGAAGATAAACAGCAGGCTGTATTCAGAAGACTGTAAGTATTCCCAACATATTATTCAATCACCTTCTTGGCCTTGATCTTTATGAACCCGCACCTAACGTGATATGATTATGGTAGACTGCTTAGTTTTCTCGTGGGTAAGGTTATAAGAGCCAGCGAAGAGGTCAGCGCTTATGAAGTCATAGATAATCTGTTTAAGCACTCAAGGACTAATTCTCTGTAAGTAATGCTCCTACATCTAAAGGCATTTATTCTTACCGCCGATCTTATAGATGCTATATACAATGCTGGATTAGGAACGCATGTTCAAAATCTGAGCACAAGTGTACTAGATCTATTTGAGAAGGTACATCACTAGACAGGAAGTTTTCAAAAGCTTACCTCTATAATATCAGCTTATTCTTGCAACTGCATGCCTCTTTGTTACCGGTTCATGCCTCGCCAGAAGCGCTCACCTGATCTTTCTCGCCCGTATTTTTGCGGGAAAGCAAAGTATGCGTTACGCAGTGTATACAGTTACTGTGTTTATTACTGTCGGCTCCGCGGCAACTTTTTCGCTTTTTGTTTTTGCTTGTCGACCAATATCCAAATCATGGACCATAACCCAGGCTGGCAGATGCATTAATCAGTCGGCTATATTTATTGCTGTTGCAATATTTAATATATGCTCTGATATCCTGTTATTGCTGCTACCTGTGCCTACAATCTATAGATTGAAGATCACACATACACAGAAGGTCAAATTCATGATCATTTCTATCATGGTTTGTGTGTAAGTAACAAAGTAGTCTATATATTCTCCATTTATTAGCGGACTATATTGACCTTT